AGGAGCCGGGTTGGGCCCTAATTCAGTGAAAGAGAGCACCAGCCGAAGTTTTCAGTCCGTCTTGCGGGTAAGCGGCTCTTGGTCGGACTAGCCTGAATGGAAGGGACAGGCAAACAAGGAGAGAAATGGTACCCTGAAGGGAGGAGGGTGTTGCGCACATGTGCGCGTCTGCGCGAGGGCGAGGGAGCGAGGAGCTGGTGTGGCACCCCCGCAGGACAGAGCTGCGCCAGGGCGCGGGGGACGGCACAGCGCGTCCCTTTCTGGGGTGCGAGGGACCGGGGGGGTCGCCTGCCAACGCAGAGCTGGGCAACGAGGGTTCAGAAACACGCAGCCACCATGCGGCGGCCACGTGCCAGTCCGTGCGCGTAAGGGAGATAGGGGCTTTGGTGAATAAACGGTGACGAAGATTGAGTCTCTGTTGTCTTTGTAAAGCTTCCTCCAAATACTCCGTACTGGGACCAAGTACTAGAGAGGTAGATTTTAATAGATTTGGGGTTGGTTTTTTTCTTTCTTACTATGGTGCTGATGTATATGTAATGTTAAAAAAAAAAGTTATTTGTAAATATGTTTTTACAATTCTACAGATATCACTGGGTCTACTATCTGTAAAATATATACATATAAAAATATATATATATACTGTTTGTTTAAAATAGAGTATTTTTATTTCATTCCTTAACTCATCCTTACTGCAGTGGTATTGCACTTCAGATGACGTCTATTTACTAATTTGTACTGTATCCCTGACAGCAACTTGCTCCATTTTATTCAGATTTTTCTAGTTTTCTGTTTTTACTTTGTACATTAAGCATTGCTTATTTCCTTTTAAGACCTGTACAGAGCTCTGAAAATGTAGAAAAAGACCTGATGTTAACATACCACTTTTAAAGAAAACAAAACAAAACAAAAACAAAAAACAAATAAAAGATGGTTATCTGAGTCATATACCGGGCTGGTTTATAGGATCCTCTCTCACCCCACTCCTGCACCTCGGTGGGTGATCTTCCAGCGGGAGGAGGGAAGCCGGCTTCAGGCGGGCCTGGTTTCGGCCCGCGGGTTTCTGCATGGCCCGGCCAGAGTCGGGGTGTTACAGGCAGGGTCCAGCCCGTACCAGGCCGCCCCTCTTGCCCCGGGGTTGTTCGGCAACCGGTAAAGCCTCTGCATCCCGGTGAGCCCCGCCGGGCACAGCCAAGCAGCTCCCACCGCGGCAGCGGGGAGTTCGTCCATAATTGGGCCCGTTAGAGGCAGCAGCTCCAAACTTTTGTGTTTATTCTGTGTTGGGAGCAAAAGTAGGGAGTAGGGAAGGGCTTTCAGGGGGGGACACAAGATGGAGAGCCCAGGATGTAGGGGTGCTGTGGCTGAGATCTGGGGAGGCGAGGTGGGGTGGAAGAAGGGAGATGCGGGGTTGGATGTAGAAGTTGGAAAGAAGAGATGGGGAAACTGGGGAAGCGTGAAGAGGCACGCTTGGAGTAATTCCCTGTCACCTCCTACTACTCCTACAGCATGAGAGTTGTGTTGTCAGAAGCCTTTTGGAAAGTGCATGTAGACTTGTTGAATTTACACGACCTGTTCAAGATACACACGCCACGTAGCCTTTGAGGCTTGACACCGATTTCTCCGTGCTTCCAGCCTACTGGGGAGTCGTGGGGGATCGGACATCGGACCTCTGTTTGCACAGCTTGCTGCTCGGGACGTCGGTGTGGCTTGGCTCCACGTACAGCCTTTAAGGTGAGTTCCCCCTTCTCTCCTTAACGTCAGCCCTTTACCGTTTCAAATGTGGATAACGGGGCACAGGGAAGGAGATTGGCCCAGCTCGGAGCAGCTGGCGAGAGTTACTCCTCCGCACGTGCTGGCAGAGGGCTTGCTGAGAAAAGATGCTTTCAGCAAGAGGCCCCTAGGTACTGACTGGCTTTGAAGCTGCCGCGGGGACCATCGTCGTTTCTGATCGTGACCGACAGATGAGCATTTGCATCAGCTCGCAGTGGATGCTGAACATGCAGCCTGGTGCTGACTCCTCCATCAGCAGGCAGGAGACGGTGCGGGTCTCTCTACAGTTAAACTAAATACTGACACTGACAGCATCCATCTGTTGCAGGTGTATTTTGTTCTTAATGATAGATGAGTCAGTCCTTAACGCTTTTCAATCATAGACATTCTGTCCTGGCTAACTGGGGAGAAAGCAGTGACACAGAACACCAGTGGCATCCTCAGCTCCAGGCTTACTTCTGCCCTGTCGTTAGCTGGTGCAGCTCCTAAAATGTTCGGTTCGTGTTTATCCCCTAGCACTCTGCTGCTGGGTGATGCTTTGCAGCCTCACACCCACATTTTTTGGCATGTGAAATTGTCCCCACGCGACAGAAGTTTATCCCTTTCTCTGGAGTCGATGCCGTATGGGAAGCTATCTATACGCGTGCCAGACAGACCGCTACAACAGGTAAGCTTGGAATGGAATAACTTCAGAGGCAAAGACCTATTTTTGAACAGAGTTAGTGACCTTTGGGCCTCCTCTAGTGTGTATGTCAAGCTTGTTACGTGGTTTGGACCTTTGTCTTGGTTTTTGTCTGCTGGCAGCACTTCCTGCTGCCCCCGACGGTCTGAAGGCATGGCTGGCAGGTGGGCAGGTGGATTTTCTGTCTGCCAGCCCACAGAAGGAAAAGTTAGTGGAAGAGTTCCTGGTGGTTTCTGTAGTTGTTAAATCTGGCCCCGTTGCACTCTCTCCCTGGAGGCAAGTGCCAGGGAGTTGCCCTTTCCGCAGCTGTGTCAGCTCCAGCCTGTTCACCATCACGATCTGTCCTTTTCCCCTCGGCAGCCGTTAGTGGACCCAGCTCTTGCACCTTTGCCCTTGTTTCATTTTATTGTTTCAAATGCCGTTTCAGCCTTTGCCACCTGCAGGCGCTAAGTTGTGCCTTTTAATCACAAGCTAACTTCTGCACATGCAATGCGTCCACCTTTTTCATATGAAAGTTTATTACGAACCTGATCCAACACTCAATTATTTTGTGCTCAGGTTATCAACCTCAGCACGCTCTTAGAAAGACCATAAGCACGTTCATTATATAAACGTGCAGTATTTTTGGCCAAATGGTGTCTTCAAGGGCATGACAAGGAAAATTTCTGCCTGCTGGCTCTAGCTAGCATGAGTGTATTCAGCAGTGTCTTAATTTGAATTATCAGGAGCTACCAAAATAGTCAGGCATGGCCTTGCTTCGCTGTTCTCCTACGTAGTTTAAACTGACCATCGGCATACTTCGAGCTGATGGTGCTAAGCCATGACTTTTCCCCCCTTTTAGCAGAAAACTGTTTTCCTAGTTTGCTTTTCATTGGCATTTTATGATTCCCAGAGCTGTGGCCATGCTGGGACGTTTGTCTCGTCTTTCCCACAGCCTGGCCATCTGTGCCTTGGCGGGAGACAATGCAGGGGACCCAATTGTTAGACGAGCATCTGCGCTGCCTTTTTGTCCGGGCCGGCTCTCCCTCTCGCAAGTGCCGCACTGTGGGTACAGCCTGTCTTTGAGAGGCTTTGTGTGAGGACCGGGATCTGCCTACAGGAGGGCCCTGCTTCTACAAGAAGAGCGTTTCAGCGTGTGTTGAACTGTAAACATGCGTAGAAAATCAAAAGGCCTTCACAGAAACGTAGGGTCAGGTGCAGCTTTCAGTGTTTTCCTGAAGAAAGCAGTGTTTCCATAGAGGCTTAAACAGCCTCCTGCAGCGGGATTGCATGTACTTGGAAAACTGGGACCTCGCAGCAGCGTATTGTGTTGAAGCGTGTTTTTACATGGGTGCAGAACGGGTGGCGCTGCTGGGGAAAATGGAGAGGAGTGAAGACAACTACAGAGGCACTGGCAAAGCTGAAGGACATTGGGTAAGATGGGCTGACGCCTGCAGTGCCAGTTGCAACTAAATTACTTAGTGAATTAATGGTTTTAGTTTGATGTAATTTGTTTAGGGCTTACAATACTGTATGGGAAAACAGAACATTTAATTGCAAATGCAGATGTGACATCACATTCTGTCCTACTGACTCTTTGTCAAGAGCGTAGGGACAGGAGAAGGCATAAACAGCTCAGGAAAAACGTGCATTTGACATTGCAACGGGCTGTTAGGAAAGAGCTCTGATGCTTTATTCACATGCAGCTTACAATCTTTTTGGTGTTCAGGGAAAGCATCCGCGTTATTTATTTATTTAAAAAAAACAACCCAGTCTTCAGAATAATTTACGTAGTTTCTTCATAATGCTGAAGTCCAGGTATTCATCCAGAAAGCTGTTAACAATCCCAGCTGCAGCCAGGGTTATCAAGCAAATCAGAATTATCACACTCAAATAAAAACCTGTTAACCTAGAAGTGGAAAGCAGAAAAATACTGTTATGAGCTGTACATGGTGTGTTTACAGTGAAACTGCTTGTCCACACCAGTTAAGAAGTGCAATCAGAAAGGATCACTGCTGCAACGCTACCTTGGGGCGTCCTGGTAATAAACCATTCCCGCACGTGACTTTTGCTAGGGAGAAGAGAGATTCCTAATATCCTCTCCATGGGAAAACTCTCCCCCAGTGTTTCTAAATATTCACGTGGAAGTTAGGAACTTGCTCCAGGATGAAGCTACCTCATCCCGTGGCACGAAGATGTGTAGGTAAAGCCTCAGACAAGCCTGAGCACCTCACTGCAACTCTAGGTGCAGGAGTGTGGGAGAGAAGCCTTTGGGGCCGAGGGAGAGGCGTGCATGTCTCTCCCATCCACATTGTTGGCCAGGTACTCTGCACTGGGCTGGGCGGGCTGCTGCTGGTTATCACTTTGACTTGAGATGGATTTTTGGACCGGAAAGGAAGAGCATCAATCTTGAAAAATCAGCGATTAGGGCACTTGCTGGGAACGGGAAAGGGTTAGGTTATTTTATTTGTGGAAAATGGAAGGCTCCCCACAGAAAAGGCTGGGAGAGCCCTTCAGCTCTGAAACACAGAGCTCGCTTTTTGGGCACATGTGAGGAGGGAGCTTCCCCTCCGTGCACGCTCTCCTGGGACTGTTCTGAGTTGCCTTGGTGCAGACTCTGGTCTGACAGGCATATTCTGGGAGCTGCTGCTGGGTTGGCCCCTGCCAGCAAAGCGAGCAGCAAAAGGTCTCTTTGGAGAATCCCATCATGTTAGCATTGGAGAGAGGTCTGAGGAGCTTGTCAGCCTTTGATTTATAGCTACCTATCCCTATACCCACAGAAGCTGAAGAGGGTAGGTGCTCAGGCACCGCTGGGGGTGTGGGGAGCCTGAGGATCTCACTGGTGCCTAAAGACTTATGATAAGTAGCCTTTCTGGGCGTTCCACGTCTAGATGCAGATTTCGAAATGGTGAAGTATGAGATTTCCTCAATTTCAGGAGAGCATGAGAAGTCTTTAGCTTAGCCTTTAAGTATCTGTCAGAGCCAGCTGGAGGGAAGGGTGAGGGATACAGCTCACTTGCAAAGGCCTCTCCAGCACAGAAACAAAGTAGAAGGTGCACGTTCCTGTTGTGTTCTTAAGAAAATCCAGCCTTGGCGAATCTGAACTGCAATTCATGTAGTGCAGGAGTATATGTCGTAACCAGCCCTTCGAGCACGTGGACCAGGTTTGTCTTTATAACTAGCACGGCTGTAGTCGGTGATTACGGTTGAGAATCAGTGCGAAGATTAATTACCTTCTCGCTGAAGGCTGAATCTATTGGTCTAAGAGTACTGAAGTAAAGCAAGGGACACATTTCTTGAACAAAGGACTTTTTAGTTTGTTGATTAAAGTCTGTTATGCTCTGCTTGTTCATTTATTTACATGGTTTTGCTCCCCAAACTTCCCTAATAGTTGCTAGTCTTTTGGTTGGTGTTCATTGCATCATTTGAATTATTGCATGCCTTAGTGGAAAATATAAAATTATCTCCATATATTTGCTCTGGAATACGTAGCTTCTCCCTTCTCTTAAGCAACAGCTCTTCCAAAGAGGGTAAAGGACTAGTGGAGACTGTAGTGTGAAGGAGAATGGTAGTATCAGTATACAAGCTGTGAAAAATAGCCCTGTAGTACAGGTTTTTGCTGCTGCAGGATTATTCACTACAAAATAGCCTGGTTGTTCTGTATGTTCCTCTAGAAATATACATCCCGAGTCTTTTAATTTTATGACAAGCATATATCATGCTATTTTCTTTTTATGACTGATATGTGTGCTGGAAAAGGAGCCTTAGGTCAGGACACAGAAGATAGTGCAGTGGCTTCAGTGAAACAAGAAAAAAACTGTGTGTTTGAGTGTTTATAGTGGAGGGGTGTTTGCCAGCGTGCATGTTTGTTGAAGCAGAATTCATGTTACGAGATGCTCTTCACTTAACATTCATTAATGCATGCTTATCTGAAGCCATGTTCTCTTATCTGTGTGGTGAAAGTTCATCAGCCTACAAGGCCAGATTTGCTTGCTTCCTTTAGCACATTTTGTATGGCTAGAGTAAAGGTCACAATGTGGCAAACGGAGGAAAAATGCAAACAGCAGGCAGGCAGGCACTGTGCAAGCCCTGCCTGAGCAGTCTCCCATCCTACAGCAGTCCTGAGCTGCAAAACTGTGCTGCTGTTTTCAGGCCTCTCCGAGTCTGGTTGCCAATATGCTCAGTACAAAGCAGGCACCCACCAGGTGTGCATCAAACCTTTTCTCTCTCGTGACCTGTAGCACGTGCACAGGTTAACCTAGGCTTCTGCTGTAACAGCCAGCCCCCTTCCCTGCGGGTTTCCGCCTCAGACCTCTTGCTGACACTTTACACATGTTGCATTCAATTATAGTCACTTTTCACTGCCAGTCCTTGGCTCTCAGCCCAGCTTCAGACCACAGCCTGCAGCGTTCAACCTGCATTCAGCTGGTAACTCCTTACCTTCCTTTCACAGACTGCACGTAACCATGGAAGTACTTGTAGCGGGCAAACATGTACAACACACCCAGAAAGGAAGCTAATTCTAAGAAAGAAAAGATTAATGGGGGGAGAAAAGAGTTAGAAAACTAAAAAATGAGGATCGTAGACAGTTAGACACTTTAGTTATGTTTTCTAGTTGTATAGCTCTGGGGATTTTCATAGCTACCCACACCCTGGGAAGTTATCTTGGGAAAGAATCATTCAAAAGAGATATATGTATTCTTAAACATTCACTACAGGAGGCTCTTGATATGGGTTTACAGATAGGGGTGGGCGTAGGACTGTCCAAAAAAACCTAAAAGCATTCCCTGAAAAGGAGATCTCAAGAACTGACAGGAATCTGTAGCCCCCCCAGTTTGGTGGTTATCCCTGAGACGAGGTAGTGGGTTGGAGCACTGTGGCTTGACCCAGCACTGTCATTTTGTATTGTTATGGCAGTTCATGCTAAAGGGGAGTGTTTGTTTTGGAAAGGGAATCTTATTTATGTTGTTAATAACCTGCTTTGCATTTATATAGCAGCTTTTATCCAAGGACATGAGAGAAAGCTGTAGTGAAGTTAGCTTTCTGACCTCCCTGTGGGAAGAGTATAAAGTCACCTCCATTTGATAGATGGAGCAGGGTGTGTAGGTCAGTCGTATTATCCAGGACTAAGCTGGATAATTTTGTGTTCTTTCAAACTGTGCAAGTGAGCATTACAGAGGACGGCTTTTGCTGCGTTCTGGATTAACTCGTGTAAACATACCTATGGGAGATGCTCAGCTGAAAAACTGACTTAATGAAAAGGTTAACATAATCCTTCTTTTCTTACGTATGGCAGCACATGTCTGTGTTGCTGGTTGGCAACTGTGATTTTCCTCAGTTCAAGTGTCTGTCTATAAGCACGTGTACTGTCTCGTATCCAATGTGTTGACTGTGGTGCTACTTTGTGATGTGGTGCTACTTTGGATTTACATTGGATTTGCAGTGGAGATGGGACTCTGGCTCTAAGAGAGCCCCAAAGCAAAATTACTGGTTTGGAGCAAACAGAAAATGGAGAAGAAAGCTAGTTGTTCAGGAAGAAGAGGTATAGCGGGCATGAGTTAGTTATCCTTTCTCCAGCCCACAGAATTCATGCTTCTAAAACATCAGCTGGGGAAGGGCTAAAAAAGCAGAATGCAAAAATTAGGCTCTGTCACAAGTTCTAGCTCTACGAGAGTCCACCCCATCACTGTTAGGAGACATCACAGACCCACCTTGGGAAGTCCAACAGAGTGAGAGGTATGAAAGCTCTGTGGCGTCTGAGTTCAGAACATTTGGCCAAAAAATGCCCCCCTGCTAGGTGGCTGAGAAAACATTGTAGATTTTCCCGAGTCCCCGCCGCATACCTGAAGTACAACATCTACAATACCGGCTGGAGATGCCGCAGTTATGATTGTGCTTCAGTGCTCAGTGCTATGTCCCAGAACAAACAAGTCATAGCCCAGTGGCAGTCTCGCCCATCTGGGATGTAAAAACCCAAAGGTTTGCTGCTTGAGCTCCATCTCCATCAGCCAGGGGTCCAGCCACAGGTATGAGTGCTCTGACCTGAGTCTTTCCAGGCTGCTTCCTCCCCAGGAATGATAGCTACGCTTGATGTCCTGTGAGAATTGTGCCGTAATGTGCAAATAATTGTTAGTGGGAAGCACCTGGGAGCGGCTTTTCTGAATGATTCACCCCGCAAATCCACTGAATGTATGATAAATATGCCATGTACTGGCTCCTTGGTTTGCAGAGAGAGGTGAAAGCTGGTGGGGCTATGTGAAATGCCATGACTAAGTGGGGATTTCAGTGTCACTGAGCGTTCTTCTAGGAAGGCTATGCTAAGGTAATGCAATTAAAAGAAGGGAAAAAGATGTCTACAGTCACCTCCTGATAAAACTAAAGCGTTTTAAAAAGTTACGTAAAACTTTTCAGTCCAAAATAAAAACGTAAAGTGTTTACCTTGATGAAAAAACCATCCTGCAGTCCAGAGGACAGTCAGGAACATTGGGTAAAACTCCACACAGTTTTGTCTGCAGAATAAATTTGAAAGAACATTAGTCTGGAAAGGAAAAGAACTGGGGTGGGGGGGTGGGGAAGTTCAAGGAGAATCGACTTTGGCCTCATTTAGTTGCCGCTAAAGTTAATGCTGTCGAATTCAATGGGAGCACAGTCAAGCCAGCATTAGGCACTCTTAAAAATTCTCTTCTTTGTAATCTCAAATACAAACTATTTCAAATATTTGCCTGGTATTTAAACTTAGACAAGGATCTGGATCCCAACTACATGGATATAAATAGGACAAATAATCCTAAATCAAGTGCCTGTGCAGCAGAGAGAGGCAGGAACGCCAGCACATGGATGTGATGTTTATCACTTATCTCCATGCTCGGTATGCAAGTTTTGTGGGTCAGCGTTCCTGGGACTGCAAGAGGAAGCATAGAGCTGTGCGTAGGCAGCTTGGATTGCCCTGCTGAGGCCAACTGCCTTTATGAAGTGCTGTCAGGCACAGACAGCACACGATAGATCTTCTTATGGTGAGGACCATAACATCTTTATTTGTGGATGTCATCAGTTTTCCCACCAATATTTTCTTTGGATATCTTTTCTTGGTTGTTCTGAACGAATTTCTTTTTAATGAATCAGGCATCCTTCTATATCTAACATATTCTGTTATCTAATATGTTGTCTAATGTCTCGTTATTGTTATCCACTACAATTACAGTTACAGCAGATGGGATTGTTTGAAATAAATATGAATACTTTTGCATAGGATCATTAGCTAATCACAAACTGAAGCCCTTTAGGAAAATGCGGTCTTTTTAGACAGGCTATTCCACTGTTACCCACTGTGCCGACAGAGAGTTTCTGTGCTCGTGTGTTCCACGTGTTTGGTGTTAGCCATAGTTCAAGAACTGACAGCACAGCTTGCTAGATCCAGAACACCTGAATTCTCTAAGTTACAGTCAATTAGCTCTCAGCCCCGACTTAGGTTTGGGTAATCCGATTGCCTAGCTTGATCAGAATTTGAGCAGTGACTGTTTTAAGTGAGCTGAACTTACCCCATTATCATTAAAATAATAGCTGAACCATTTGAAGAGCGAGTTGTTCATTACTTTTCTTTTTTTTTTTTGAGCAAAGAATGCAAAGAAAAGGTAACGCTTTAAGATAATGTTTTTGCTTCTCTTCTGGACTGAATTGTTATTCATTGCCACCATCTTAATGATCTCCGGACTTACTGTGCACGGAATGTTCTGTCAAATTCGGGAGCTCCAGTGACCGCTGGGGGCATGACTTTGTGCTTCATTCTTGATTTCCCCACCAGCCGAGCAAAATAACCTGTAAGCAAAAATAAGGGGTCACGAATTACAGTTCCTCGGCTCAGTTGCATCCCTAACACATCAGTAATTTTTTAAATAGAGATAATTGTTCTTCCGCTCTTTCCATTTCGTTTGACGGAAA